TTCGCTCCACCACATGTACCACATGAGGTGCGAATGACAATAAAGAAACTCTGACTCTGACTCTCTGGTGTGCAGAACCAAACTGTGACCCTCATACCGCGGTAAACCAACGAGTTGGGCATACTGTTACAGCGCTAGTTAAAGCATCAGGCCGCAGAAAGAGCTCGTCTCTACCTTGCAGCTTCTCTCGGATGCTTTCGTTGCAGCTCTCCTTGATCAGAGCAGCTGAGCGGAAGAAGATATCGGTGGCATGAGGCAGCAGCAGCTGCAGGTGTTTGTGAAGCAGAGCCACGCTGCTGGAATTCTGAGAAGAAGAAAAAAGTCATGACTTTTATGTGTCTGGACTTTCCAACACTCAATTCTGGGACAAACCTATTTTTTTGTCTAAAGCGGACGTTCTGATCTCAGATGTCAGTTAGGTGGAAGCACAGAAATGATGGACACTGGGACGGACAGTACCTCAGTGATAGAACCGATGTGGCAGTAAGCCAGCAGCTGTTTCTGGAGGGAGCACAGCAGCTGGTGGAGGTGAGCAGGCTGGCTGCTGTCGGACGACGATGTCCCCTGCTGAAGCTTATCGCTGTTCTTCTCCAGCTCTCCTAAAGCCTGATCCTGCAGGCAGCAAACACACGCAGCGGACACGTCAACCATCACTTCATTTACCCATGAAAACGTTCAGAGGAAAAAGGATAACTGTGTTTAAAACGAAACATTCAGTCCAACGTCTGTAATTCAGACATTCATCAACAGAACCATTCCGTATGATTTTATTTTAACTTGAACCTGATGCTGCTTGAAATGCTCTAAAACCCATCTTTTTACTAAAATAAGTTGTACAGACTAACAAAAAGTAGATGTTTTACATCTTTAATGGGTTCTGACTTGATGGACAGAAGCAGTGAACCTTCAGATTCTGATTCAGTCCCACAACAGGAAAGGTTCACCAAGTCCTCCCAGATCCCAGAGGAACTCCAAAAGACCACTTCTTGATCTCACTGCGTCCTCTCCCAGTCATTTATTCAGAGCTTACAGGAAAACGCTCAAAGAAAACCAACGTCCAACCGTTTCACTTCCCACAAGACATGATACATTATTACATCAAGCAACATGTTAAGAAAGGCAACAGAAGAAACGTGAAACTCTTCAGCTGTGTCTTCTTGACATCAGTACCTACAGACCAATGCACTTAGAGCAAGGCCGTTTCTGTCCAGGACAGTTTCATTAGTTTCTGTTGGATTCCACTGAATCACAGTTCAGAAGCAAGAGCTAATTTTCACACGCTGGTTTTTAGTTTTAGTTTTTAGTAGTCCACTCCCTGGGCTGCCACCATACCGTGGTGGAGGGGTTTGAGTGTCCCAATGATCCTAGGAGCTATGCTGTCAGGGGCTTTATGCCCCTAGTAGGGTCACCCATGGCAGACAGGTCCTAAGTGAGGGACCAGACAAAGTGCAGCCCAAAGACCCCGATGATGAGACAAATAAATGGACCTAATGTTCCCTTGCCCTGACGTGGGTCATCGGGGCCCCACTCTGGACCCAGGCCTGGAGGTGGGGCACGCGGGCGAGCGCCTGGTGGCCGGGCTTTTACCCATGGAGCTCGACCAGGCACAGCCCGAAGAGGAGACGTGGGTCGCCCTTCCCATGGGCTCACCACCTGTGGGAGGGGCCAAAGGGGTCGGGTGCAATGTGGGATGGGTGGTGGCCGAGGGCAGGGACCCTGGCGGTCTGATCCTCGGCTACAGAAGCTGGCTATTGGGACGTGGAATGTCACCTCACTGGTGGGGAAGGAGCCTGAGCTGGTGTGTGAGGCTGAGAGGTTCCGGCTAGAAATAGTCGGACTCACCTCTACGCATGGCTCGGGCTCTGGAACCAGTTTCCTTGAGAGGGGCTGGACACTCTTCCACTCTGGAGTTGCCCCTGGTGAGAGGTGCCGAGCAGGCGTGGGCGTACTTATTGCCCCCCAACTTGGTGCCTGTGTATTGGGGTTCACCCCAGTGAACGAGAGGGTGGCCTCCCTCCGCAATACGTGTGGGGGGACGGGTTCTGACTGTCGTTTGTGCTTATGCACCAAACGGCAGTTCAGATTATCCACCCTTTCTGGAGTCCTTGGAGGGGGCACTGGAAAGTGCACCTTCTGGGGACTCCCTTGTTCTGCTGGGGGACTTCAATGCTCATGTGGGCAATGACAGTGAGACCTGGAGGGGTGTGGTTGGGAGGAACGGCCCCCCTGATCTGAACCAGAGTGGTGTTCTGTTGTTGGACTTCTGTGCTCGTCATGGATTGTCAATAACGAACACCTTGTTCAAGCATAACGGTGTCCATATGTGCTCTTGGCACCAGGACACCCTAGGCCGCAGTTCGATGATCAACTTTGTCATCGTCTCATCTGATCTGCGGCCACATGTCTTGGACACTCGGGTGAAGAGAGGGGCGGAACTGTCAAGTGATCACTACCTGGTGGTGAGTTGGCTGCGATGGTGGGGGAGGATGCCGGTCAGACCTGGCAGACCCAAACGTATTGTGAGGGTTAGCTGGGAACGTCTGGCAGAGTCTCCTGTGAGACGGAGTTTCAACTCCCACCTCTGGGAGAACTTCGAACATGTTCCGAGGGAGGTGGGGGACATTGAGTCTGAGTGGACCACGTTTCGTGCCTCTATTGTCGAGGCGGCTTACCAGAGATGCGGCTGCAAGGTTGTCGGTGCCTGTCGCGGCGGCAACCCTCGAACCCGATGGTGGACACCGTCGGTGAGGGATGCTGTCAGGCTGAAGAAGGAGTCCTATCCGGCCTTTTTGGCCTGTGGGACCCCGGAAGCAGCTGATGGGTACCGGCAGTCCAAGCGACATGCGGCTCGGGTGGTTGCTGAGGCAAAAACTCGGGCATGGGAGGAGTTCGGAGAGGCCATGGAGAACGACTTCCGCACGGCTTCGAGACGATTCTGGTCCACCATCCGGCGTCTCAGGGGGGGGAAAGCGGTACGCCACCAACACTGTTTATAGTGGGAGTGGTGTGCTGCTGACCTCAACTCGGGATGTGGGTCGGTGGGCGGAATACTTTGAAGACCTCCTCAATCCCACCGGGCCCCAGGGGTGGATGAGATTCGCCCAGAGTTCCTTAAGGCTCTGGATGTTGTAGGGTTGTGTTGGCTTACGCGACTCTGCAATATTACGTGGACATCGGGGGAAGTTCCCCTGGATTGGCAGTCCGTGGTGGTGGTCCCCCTATTCAAAAAGGGGGGACCGTAGAGTGTGTTCCAACTACAGGGGAATCACGCTCTTAAGCCTCCCTGGTAAAGTCTATTCGGGGGTTCTGGAGAGGAGGGTCCGTCGGATAGTCGAACCTCGGATTCAGGAGGAACAGTGCAGTTTTCGTCCTGGCCGTGGAACACTGGACCAGCTCTACACTCTCAGCAGGGTCCTGGAGGGTGCGTGGGAGTTTGCCCATCCATTCTACATGTGCTTTGTGGACTTGGAGAAGGCGTTCGACCGCGTCCCTCAGGGGGCCCTGTGGGGGGTACTCTGGGAGTATGGGGTACCGGGCCCTTTGATACGGGCTGATAGGTTCCTGCCTGGTCCGCATCGCCGGCAGTAAGTCGGGCTTGTTCCCAGTGAGAGTTGGACTCCGCCAAGGTTGCCCTTTGTCACCGATTCTGTTCATAACTTTTATGGACAGAATTTCTAGGCGCAGCCAAGGTGTTGAGGGGATCCGTTTTGGTGGCCTTAGGATTGCGTCTCTGCTTTTTGCAGATGATGTGGTCTTATTGGCTTCATCAGATCGTGATCTACAGCTTTCGCTGGAGCGGTTCGCAGCCGAATGCGATGCGGCCGGGATGAAGATCAGTTTCTCCAAATCCGAGGCCATGGTCTTGAGCCGGAAAAGGGTAGAGTGCCCTCTCCGGGTCAGGGAGGAGGTCCTACCCCAAGTTGAGGAGTTCAAGTATCTTGGGGTCTTGTTCACGAATGAGGGAAAAATGGAGCGTGAGATCGATAGGCGGATAGGTGCAGCGTCTGAAGTGAAGCGGGCGCTGTACAGGTCTGTCGTGGTGAAGAGAGAGCTGAGTCAAAAGGCGAAGCTCTCAACTTACCGATCGATCTACGTTCCCACCCTCATCTATGGTCACGAGCTTTGGGTTGTGACCGAAAGAATGAGATCTCGGATACAAGCGGCCGAAATGAGTTTTCTCCGCAGGGTGTCTGGGCTCTCCCTTAGAGACAGGGTGAGAAGCTCGATCATCCGGGAGGGACTCGGAGTAGAGCCGCTGCTTCTCCACGTCGAGAGGAGCCAGTTGAGGTGGCTTGGGCATCTGTTTAGGATTCCTTCTGGACGCCTCCCTGGTGAGGTGTTCTGCACACGTCCCACCGGAAGGAGGCCCAGAGGAAGACCCAGGACACGCTGGAGGGACTATGTTTCTCGGCTGGCCTGGGAACGCCTCGGGATTCCCCCGGAAGAGCTGGCCCAAGTGGCTGGGGAGAGGGAAGTCTGGGCCTCCCTACTTAGGCTGCTACCCCCGCGACCCGACCCCGTTTAAGCGGAAGAAAATGGATGGATGGATGGGTTTTTAGTGAAGTTCAGTGTTATACCAGTAGCATGCGTGGCTTATTCCGTCTTCATAAAAGGAACAACAAGAAAATCAGGATTACAGTTCAGCTTTGTTTTAAACTGGGCTGGAGTCAACATTCAGACACAGAAATCTGAAACACTGAAGAAATCAGGATTTCTTTCTTTTACAAATAATAATAATTCTGAAACTTGGTGAACATCTGTATCTTCTCAGGACCTGTGAAAAAGTCTCTTGGAGCCTTGGTCCAAACTCAACAGGAAGTCGTCCATTTTGGGTCCAAAGTTCAATTTTGTGCGTTTCTAATGGTGCATTTTAACAAACTCCTACTAGGCATTTTGAGCGATTGACTTCAAACTTGGTTAATGTGCCCTTAACACGTTCTGGAATAAAAGTTAGTAAAAGCTTTCATTCTCCTATGTGTTAAAGGGGCGTGGCCAGGCCTCAAACTTGCGCTTCACGTCATAACTTTAAAAACACTGTAACTTTCACATTGAAAGACCAAACAGCACCAAATTTGGCATGACTCATCCCTGTTGGATGCCCGACGATCCACTTTGGTCATATTTTGACGTAATCAAAGCCCCGCCCCCTTGGAACAGGAAGTCTTTTTTAAAATTGGAATGCTCCCTATTTGACACCATTGACCTAATCATGATGATCCTGTGTTAGAAGACAGATAAGATGGTCTGACTTGATTTAAAGTACAAACAGTTTTAGCTGGAGGATGTGGGTGTGGCGAATCAAAAAGTGACGCCATTGCAGTACGTTTGGCTCTAAAATACACAGATTTGAGCCGAGGTGTAGCAAAATCACTATGATCAATCGTTATCCACCCCTTGAAGAGGTATCCATGATAAGTGGCCAATAGGCTCTACAGCGCCACCTACATTCTTCCTACAGTTATATCTCAGTGATACATCATCCGATCTGCACCAGATTTTTGTTGCGTCATCTGTGAGCATTTCCTGACACATTGGTATTGTTGTTTATTATTTGACTCAAGTAGGACCCCTAGATTATTCAAACTGTTATACCGCAGTGATATATCATCCGATCTGTACCAGATTTTTGGTGCGTCATTACTCAGCACTTATAGACACATTGGTATTGCTTTTTTACTTTTGAATCAAGTGCGCACCCTATATCATTCAAAATGTTATATCACAGTGAAACATCATCTTATCTGGACCGGATTTTTGGTGCATAATCCGTGAGCACGTCTAAACACATTGATATTGTGGTTTACCATATGACTCTCATACTGATATGGACAGAAGGCGATTGCAAAGTTTAGGCGTATGCGCACCCTGGTGGACGCGTGCGGGAATGGCATGAGAGCATTCGCGACGGTGACTCCCAGGCGTTGCTGGAGCGCACGCGGTCACGGCTGATGTCCAACGTTTGGCGAATGCGCACTCCAGTGAAAAGGCGTGGGACGGAAGCGTGGGACGGAAGCGTGGGACGGAAGCGTGGGA